ATTCGAAATTACCTGCTAATCTCCGAGAGTGAACAGTGCGATGTCAATATTGATATTGCATTATTCACCTACACAAAAAAATTTGACTTACAAGATTTACGGAAGAAGCAAGCGAAAGAGGAGAAAGACGATTTCTTAGCATCGAGATGAAGAAGCCCGTGAAAGAGGAGAAGAAATGGAGTTCGAATGGAATTGAATTACGGCATTTTAGAGTTTTACTGTATTTTGGAGTGGAAAATTAGTTATTTTGGTTGAAGATTTCCTTAGTACAAAATTTTAATTAAAAAATTACTTTAGAAAGCACTAAAAAAACTGTCTCAAACAAAATCTAATCATAAATCCAAGCTAAAATTATTTTGATACAAATATGGTCATATCGTCATGACATCTAATTAGGCTATAAATTTATCGTAATAAAAATTTCAATTTAAATATGTTTTGAGATTAATACATTTATAATTAAATTAATGAAATGGATATTAAATGTGGGTAATGGTTTTAATTTATATTTTGAATTAATGATAAATCTTATTTTTTAAAATAAATATTATTAAATTTTTAAATAAATTAATTACTAAAGATATATTTGATTTGTCTCTAACTGATACATTTAATGCTAAAGTAATAAATTAATCTATATAAATAGTAGTGTCTTATGTAACTTGTGTATAATTTTCTACTTTACATGACAAAGTTTAGATGTTTAAGATGTGTCTTATACTACTTGTATGAATTTTCAATTTTTTTTTTATTTAGGCAAAATGGGGTTGCTGGTAGGGGATGAATTACCTAAAATATCATTATTATCTGAAATATCATTACAAAAATTAATTTATTAAAATATTTAGGGTGGGAAATTGCCCATATTCAAGCAAGGATTAAAGATTTCAATTGACTAGACGGACAAGTAACAATTGCACGATCGATGAGTATGAAGTTTGACTCCTAACTAAATGAGATAGCTTTTTTAGAACAGCATGAAGTCTATCATCAACGGCCTAAAATATTTAAAGCTTAAGCTTCATTTGAGATAGCTTTTTTACTGCTTTCTAAAGTACCCTTTTAGTATAAAAATTTTTTGAACTAAAAATTTTCATAATAGAAAGCTGTCCCGAGCAAAGCCTTGGACGATTTCTACAGGTTGATAGTTCAAGTTGGGTAATAAGGCCTCAAAGATTAAATTCTACCCTAACAAGCGGTAAGGCAACTTATTGTGAGGTAGGCATGAGTACTAAGCTTCTAGTGAATAATATCAAGTTCTCGATATGGTTAAAGCTGGTTCATTACTCTACTAAAAATATTTAGATTTAGGCTTCGTTGGGACGGCTTTCTTACTGCTTCTTAAAGTAGCTTTCTATTATAAAAAAATTAATTTTTATACTAAAAAGTTGCTTTAAGAAGCAATAAGAAAGCCGTCCCACTTAATTAATCTAATTCAAATAAATGTGTTTGTGTAATAAAGAATAATAGGAGAAAGGGGTTATAACAAACCTAAAAAGAATCTTATTAAGAAATAAGTAAAATGCTTTGTTGTCATGATTAGGGCATATTTTATGTCTAATAGCTTTTGTTAAGATATGTGACACATAGAGTTCCAAATTGAAGGCATACTGCCAATTATTTTAATCTTTATAGTCCCTTCTAATTAATTTATTACAATTAAAACACTTGTCATTACTCTGTTCTTTTTTTTTTTTTACAAAAATAATTTATCAGTTTTAACTAATCAAACTTTGTGTCAGTCTCTCATATATGGGGGAGGGTGCAAATAATAAAAAAAGTTTTAAAATATAAAAACAATAAAAAATGGACATAAGGCTTTATATGATTTGGCCTTCACTGCCTACATTTATGAATGAGCATTATAGTTAGTGCATGAGAGAGGCTATTTTGTCACATTGTAAAAAAATGTGGTTCACCAACACAAAATTTTTTAAAGATTATTTATTGGCTAAAATTTCAACGAAGTTTAATTAAAATTTCAGTTGAAAATATTTATTAAATTAAAAAAATAAATAAAATTTCAATGATTGGGTAGTTATAAATTATTTTAAGCATATTTCATTGAATTCATAAAAAAGATATTTAAATTTATTAGAAAAATAAATTAAGTTCAAGAATAAACGTCTAAAAAGAACAATTAGATTTTATATCATTTCGTGATACCCCTAATTATTGACAAAGATCAAAGTCAACTTTAGAAGATCGAATAATAGTACATTTTCATAAGATATAAATCTATGAAACTTATTGTAACTGATTGTATTTTGGAGTTTGCCTGAAAAATCTCATTCTAATATAGGGAAATTTTAAGCGAGTTTCAAATTAAGAGTGACTTTTTTTTGGTAAGAAACTCTAGTCTGTCAGTGAGTATTCCAGCTGTGTTGATGGTTGAGTCCGTTGGCTGATTTTAATAACTCAATAGTGAGCGTAGAGCTAGAGGCAACTCTTGGACTACTTATTCGAAATATAGGTTTAGGCGACATAAGGCTTTAGGAAACTTTAGAATCGAAAAGTTCTAAGTTATAGGTGATTCAATAAATTTGCTACTTTTTATTATTATGACTTAATTAACTTGACCAAAAAGAATATTGATACATTTGATTTATAATGCTGTTATATATTCAGAGAGATCAAGAAGGGAAGAAGAATAAAAATGTCTTTGAGCTGGTCCTTGGTGTCAATATGATGGAACGAGACGTTCTTAGATTGTATCCGATCATGGATGAAGTAGCAATCGATTTTGATATGCTTGGTACGAGCGTGAAAGACTAGATTTGTGGTGAGTGCTAGTGCTGATATATTTTTACAGTTAAGGGGAGTTACTGAAGTGGAAGTAATGTTGAAATCAACCAATAATCAACACAACCACATTATATTTGAGCTGTAGTGGTCAGGGCCCTACATTCCGCTTCAATGGAAGATTTGGCGATGATGGGTTGCACTTGACACTCCATGATATTAAATTGTTGTCGAGGAAGGAGAAATAGTTTGTGGTGGATTTCCTATTAGATGGATATATGGTTAGTCAGAGTCGGAATATGAGTGGAGTGTGAGGTTGCTATAAGTGATGGTAAGGCCGAATTGTATGCTATTTGAATGCCGAGAAAGGATGAGTCTGAACCTAAGTCTTTGAGAGAGAAGTGCTGATGAAGGTCATGAATGAGTGATGGACCTAAGTCTTTTAGCAAAGGTGATGAAATTGATGAGAATGTTACATGTTTCTATTTGTGTTGCATAGGAAAAATCCAATTGTGTTTTAAAAAAATATTAATGATTAAGACATGGTTGCGATAACCATTGTAAGAGAGCTCGGGGGAAGGACGTCAGACATTAGTATGAAGAAGTTCTAATGATTTTGCTACATTGATAACATTGGAGACAAAAGTCAACTTGTGAATTTTAGATGCATTACATGTGGAACATAAAAAAGTATGAGGATTATAGGATATTTGTAAATGCTTAGCTAGCTTAGACATAGAAGAACTGTGCAAATGATCTAGGTGAGCGTGCAATAGGTGTAAGAGTCGGAAGATAGAGCAGTAGGTGGCTGATGTGGGCTTTATTGGCGAAAGGGGTAGAGGCCATTTGAGCTGTTGATGCGGAGTACTTGAGATTGTTTGTAGATCCATGAAAAACAAAGTCATTAGTGTCAAACAAGATGGAGTAATTATTACCTGAAGTTAGTTTATGCATTGAGAGAAGATTGTGTGTGAGAGAAGGAATGTGAAAGAGATTTTTGAGAAGCTTACAATGTGGAGGGGGAGTTGGTAGAAGACCTTGGCCAGCATTGATGATTGGAAGGCTTGCACCGTTACCTATAGAGACTGTGTCATTACTGTGGTAGGCAGCATGCTATTGAATGTTGTTGAGGTCACTTTTGAGGTGCGCGAAGGCTTTGAAATCCATGAACCATTCATATTTTGAGAGAGAAAGACCTGTGTTAAGTGGAGAGAGGTGTTGGGTATTGAAAGTTACAACTGTGCGTCCAAGCTAGCCGCATATTTGACATGTAGGTCGAGAGCTGATGAATATCTTGGGGCTGTTAGTTGGGGAGAACAATGGGCGAGTTGTTGATGGTGGATGTACATACGTATATTGAATGCAGTTATAGCGAGAAGTGCGACTTTTTATCGTTGTGAGGGCGACAATGGATGGTTCAATGGGTGCATGTCTTAGCGATTCATTGACAATATTAACTTCTTTATTGTAGAAAATAAAATAGAGATCTTTGAAGCTAATGAGAGTTAATTTGGTGCGGATGACAATTTTGAAGGATTGATAAGAATGTGGCAATCTGTTTAGGATATATAAGATGATGTCTTTGACATATATATGAGAACCAACAATAGTGATGTTATCAACCACTGATTTTATGTTGGAAAAGTATTGAGACATGGTGAGGTTTTTCATTGAGATATTATGCACCTCATTAATGAGTTGAATAACTCAGGATCAGTTAGTAGATTGGAGATGTTTTTCTAAGTTTAACCAAATGCCATTGCATGAGTTGAGGTTTAATATATATATATATATATATCCTGACCTAATCTTTTTTGCGAAAATAAAAAAAATACTTTGTTGCTCGATTAATAAAATGTAACCTAAGCACATCAAATATCTTTCATAGAATTCAATAAGAGTTAGTTTGAGATGCCTTTCTTACTGCTTCTTAAAATAAAATTTTAACATAAAAATTTACTAGATATTTTAAGAAACAGTAAGAAATCAATTTGGACGTCAAAGTATTACACAAAATAAGGAAATTTGCATGCATATCTAACACCTAAATCTTTAAATTTATTTATCTATCACTTCAAAAAAATTAATATTAATAATAACTTATATATAATTTAAATGTTTAAGTGTTATTGTAAGTAAATATAAATATTAAGGTGCTAGATATTAACTTCATAAGAATTTTGCAGTACATATAAAAAATGCCCCCAATGAATAAATAAATCAACTACAAAGCTTATCTAACTCACACACAAGCACCAGAAATCATAACCTGGCTTTACATATGCAAGTGAAAAAATCTCAATTGATCAGAATTTTACATTTCACTACAAGACTGTACAATAAGCACAATACACAATCTGATTTAACAATTCTCTGTTTGATTAGGCTATCATAATGTCTAAAATCAGAGGAAAAAACAACAGAGGATCAGAGAAGAAAATCACCTTAATGTGATTCTGTGCATTCAATATTTCTCTGATGTGAAATCCGGCTCTGAAGGCTTCTGCAACAACATCACCGGCAACCTTTCCTGAATCCTGGCTTTCTTCGTCCCATTTCGTCGCAAGGACCTCAAAGCATTCACTGCAAATCTGGATGCAAAAATGGTGGCTCCGAGACTCGGCGAATGGCCGTTGCCTTTAGCCATTGCAGCCTGTAACCTGTTCTCTTCTTCCCGGAGTGATTCTTCCATCTTCTTTCTGGAGTAGTGACGCCAAGCTGCCTGTATAAAACAAGCCGCCCATGTGCGCCATTGCTGTGAATAGAATCTGAAGGTATGGCGAAGCTGCTTGCTATGTAGTCTACGGAACTGCGTCGCAACAAACTTCAAATCATCAGAAGCAAGAACAAAAGCTTCGACCTCCGACAAGGCCTTCACCGTTCTCGTCGAAATTGGAAGGCTGGAAGAGGAAAGAGGATCGAGAGCCCAAGTGAGTAATTCATCTCCACAGAAATCTCCACCTTTGAGATATTCTGAGTTGAAGAAACCAGTTCTTCCACCGTTTGTGGTCACGCTCAGCAATTTCCCTCTCATGATGAAAAACATTTCATCTACAGGGTCTCCTTCACGAATTATGCAGCTTTCATTAGTGTACAAAGCAGGTTTCTGGCGATCACACATGGCGTCCATGAATTGATCATCCATCTTTTCGAATATAGGAACCTACAGGAAATGAAAGAATAGAAATATGTTCATCAGGATCTTAGTTGAAATAGATTATTTCCTCAACAATGCCAATAACTAATGATGGATAACAGGTAAGAAATTTTTAAGATATTCAAAATAATTGGCTGAAATACGACCGTTGAAATAGATTTTTATAAACTCTGAAAGATGGATTGAAGATGATTATACTTTAGAAATTAGAATGGTGGTAATAGCGCCTATTGAAGATAAAGTTATTGAAAATATAGACAGTTGTTCTGTTATGACCATTAGATAGTAGAAGATGCAACAATGAACCAAATAAAAGTAATATGAAAGGATTATAAACAGAAAATTTCCAACCAGAAGTAATAACACTCGAGGAAAATGAAACTCAATGGGATTGAATGGATATTGAGGTTTCATAATTACTTATCCCAAAAAGTTGGGATAATTAGTAATGATGATAATTAAGGTTGTGAAAATTAGATCGAACATCAAATTAGAAAAAAAATGATAGATTTAATAATGGTTCAATCAAGGTTCACTGGATGATGTAATAAATAATAAATTATTAAATAAAATTGGAGAAGAAGTGATGTCCAGATGAACCAGCATGATTATGGTTTGCACTGTCGCAAAGTGCAAGGTGAGAGGGAGCTGCAAAATGATGAGGGGTAGTTATTTAAGAAGAGCTTGCATGGTGGTCGTATCCCAGAGGAAGACCTTTAAACGAGAAAGGAGTTGTAACTACAGGAGGGGTGCAAAGGAGGTTATGTATACTTGCATAATTGTCGAGGATGCAAGTAACAAACAATGTTTCTACTCCCACTAATGTCATTTCCATGCGGATGTATTATACAAAGATATCCTTCTATTAGAAGTGAAGCGCAGCTGAAAGTGGTTCCACTGGCTCACAAATGGTAGAAATGGGCATTCTCTTAGTTTAAGGATTGCCAAAATCCATCTGAAATATTTAGGCTGGACTTATCATCAAAGAGGTTTTGCTCTTACGTGACTTATATACTTTCAGCAGAACCAACTATTTGTTGTCGTATGATTAGAGCAAATGTATAACATTAATTTGTGCTTCCCTACTCATCACCATCAAAGAAATTTACAGATGGGACAAAAAATGCATAGATGTAATCGAATTTAACTTCAGCGCACAATGCATAAAGTAGAATAATGGAACTGAAATACAAAAGAATAAAAATTACATACCCTCTTAACCAGAGCCAAACAGAGGTGTCTTTTAATATCCCTTCTAAGATCTTTAGGAAGGTTTTGAATCAGGTTCTCTTCATCAGCACCTCTCGTCTCTTGCCATTTGTACTGTTCATGTCTACGTATTCTCTCCCTCAAGCTCTCAGGAAGTAAGCGATGGGCCATCCATTGCTCCGAATCTCGTCTTTTCACTCTCATTTCTTCAACTCTGGCAGTGGTGGACTGCAAATAAGTCTGTAACAATAACAGTGGATCAATTACCGCCTAGCCGGGGATGAAGCGGATTTTGAAAAGAAATACATAGGAAACACAGTAACCTGACCTTTAAACAAGAAAGCAAATAGATGGAGCAAAATTAAAAGAGTTGATCACGTAATCTTGAAAACCAAAAGCCAGGTGATCATAAGGATGGGTTTAAAATATGCAAGATTATAGTAATATTTCTTGCAAGGCCATCATCAAGGAATCACATTAAATGAATGTTGTAAATGTTCTACAAGAAATATGATGAGAAGGTAAAAAGACCTCCATAATCGCTTGTAGGTGTTGTAGGTCTTTGTACGTGGGCAACATTTTGACCCTACTAGCAAGTCTAACCAAGCAAACTTGGCAAAATAGGAGGAGAATGAATAGGCGAGTAAGGAGAAGAACTCCAAATATGACTACTAAATGAATACTAAAAATAGCATAATGTGTCATCCCTTAAAAATGCATTTCAACCCCTTATTTAAAGGATTGAGAGGGCAACATGACAGACTAAACTTAAGAAATAATGAGTAAAAGACAAGTAAATAAAAATTAGGATAGTAATTTTAAGTAGGGTCCTACTCAAGAACTAAGAAGTTGGTTCTCCTAGCACTTAAGGATAGTGATGAACGCTTCTACTCGCCAAGTGTAAAAGAATAGGGTTATATAAGGCTTGGGATATGGATATAGGAGGTTGATGCTATATATATATACTTATTTTGTATTGTATGAACTTTTAATTACTTGCATTTACCATAATTTCTCTTTGTATTAAACATTATCTTGGTGATCGGCATGACTGAGTTCATGTGCTATTGTGATGTGAATCTATATTATTGTGGTTAAGCTTTTTTACGCTCACTAATCTAGCATCATAGTTTCTTATCACCATCATATTTTCTTGCGTGCACTTGTGATTGGTTATTATCCAGTGTTTAATAGATTTGGGAGAACAGAAAAAGTTGGCAAAATCTCTAGGTTCGGTATTATCACCCCTATCCCTAGTGGTGTGCCTAAAAACCAACATCTGGCTTGCTGTGCACGTGAAAACAAGGCGGTAAATAACTTATGCTTTCCTCAATTGAGGGTGGGTTATTCTGTGCAGTGAAGCCTCATAAAGCATTAAAATATAAAGCATGACTTAATGAGATGCGTGGAGTTACTGTACGGTTGGAGTTAGTGGTTTAGTAAATGCAATTGCTCATTGTGTCCTCGCAAAAACCATGAATAATTTATTAAGCTTGTTAATGATATTATGACGGAGAAAAAATAAATGCCATCTTTGTACTACACGGCGCAGAGGCAATAGCAAGTCTAGGGGTGCCACTGAGTCAAGCCGGCTCACGAGCCGGCTCGAGCTCGACTCGACAACAGGCTCGATGAGTCAAGCTGATCGAGCTCGCGAGTCGAGCTCAAACACTATTTCGAGCTCGATAGCTTATCGAGCTGAAGCTCGAACAACCAATTGATCGACTCGAGAACTCGTCAAGCAGCTCGCTTCGCCAGGAAAAAAGAAATTATCGCGGGAATATAAAATCAGGGAAACGACACGGACGCGGGAAAAAGGATGACGAGCAATGACGTGGACAGCGACGCCGTATGGGGGAAAAAGGATGACAAGCAGCGACGCGGACGCGAACGAGAGCAACGATCCGAACGACGAACGACGAAAGCTGGTGACGATGGACGACGAAAGCTACGACACGCGAGCAACGACGGACACGGGCACGCGAGCAGCTTGAGCTCGAGCTCGAACCACAGCTTGAGCTCGAGCTCGAACCACAGCTTGAGCTCGAGCTCGACGAGCTTTTTTTTCTCTATCGAGTTGAGCTCGAGCTTGACTTTTGAGCTCGACTCGAGTTCGAGCTCGAGCTCGAGCTCGGCATTTGACAGACGAGCTCGGCTCGAACAACCCTTGACTCGAGCTCGACCCGGCTCGTTTGCACCCCTAAACAAGTCTCTTTCATAGGTTAACAATTATAAAGGGACGGTTCAAATTTGGCACTCATAAAAAAAGCACCATTTAACCTCTACAGATATGAAATATTGCAAGCATACGGAGGGCACATCAAAATGAATAATATTAATCACCTGCATGTTGCCAATGAGAAGTGAAAACAGGACCAACCCATAGATAGATACAAAAACAGCAAATAGAACCTCCCAGACAAAAGTACTTGTCTGCATATTTTGCCCAAGGGAACTGCAACCAGAAAGAATGAGCCAGCATTATCTCAGATCACAAGTCTTCAATTCAAAACAGTTAAAGCTTAACTAAATTAAAAAAAAAAAAAACAACTGCAGCAACAGTTAATCTAATGAATTTAAAATGTATAAGGTAGGCTCTAGATGATACATTTACAAATTCAATGTATGCCATCAGCTCATCTTCAAAAAAAAAAAAAAAAAAAAAAAAAAAAAAAAAAAGAAAGAAGCACCGTACATGGATATTAATATTCATTATGCTTGCTTGAAGAGATACCAATCTGATAAATACTATCAGGAAAACTAAAGTTAAAAAGAAAAAAAAGATTTTAAAAATTTAAGACTCTGTTAGTGTACTAATATTCCAATAAAGATTTATGTGAAAAAGGAAGTAACAAGAAAAAAGTGCTGTTAAGGTTTATGCTTTGGTATTTGAGAAGGTTAACTTGAACATCCAAAATTCTAATTGCATCATATTTCACCATATTCTTTTCCATGCATGCGATACTTAGCCAAATATCCGTTGAGCTCCCTAGTTAATGACATTATAGTTTAGTTTTTCACGCTCACTTAAGCATTGTCATGTTATTTGAGTTGTGGGACGCCTCACAGTGTCTCTTATCAAAACAAGGTTAGCTTTTGATATATAGAAACCATAGATGAAGTACAATTCTTCAAATAGATCAAAATAGTCAACAAAAACCCAAATGATCATAAGCCAATTATTAAAAGCTAAACCAGGTCAAAACAGATTTGCGCCAGTCCCATGTTCAAGCCTTTTCATGTCAAGTATATTTATAGCCGAATTTCTTTAAATTTGTTCAGATTTGAATTATTTTGTAGGGCAACTTCTTCTTGAGGAATATAATAGATTTAAATTTCAAATTTGTTGGGATTATATAAGATTAAATTATATTTAAATATTTGGACTTATATATGTGATCCTATTTCTATAAATAGGGATTGACGGCAGAAAATTATTAATATTATTATTGAATGAATGAATGAAATTATTTTTAGCCAATTGAGTTCTCCTTAGATCCAAGTTGTGTATATGAAACACTTCAAACTATGTGTATGGAGTTTTTATTATTCAAACTATGAGGAATGCTAGAATCAAGAGAACTGCTTATTGATTCTTCTATAAGAGGGATTTCTACTAAGATTGTTTCTCCCACAAATCCCATCATTACGATTCAATCTACCTACTTGGACATTAAAATATCATTTCAGAAGAGGTGATACCTGGGATACATGTTAAGCACAAGTTTCCAATCAAGTGGCGAGGTAAGTCTACTTCACGTAATGCACAGATGACCAAGGAGGAACTGCATAAGCTAACTCTTACCTCTTGAAAGACTACATCGATCTTAACCCTCCAAAGCGAAGTTCTTAGCGCCCCAAGAGAATTGACGCAATGCAAGGGTTCAAAAATGCCAAAATAGTTGAAAAAAGCCCAATTGATCATGGGTCAATAACCAAAAGTCAAACTAGGCCAAAACATATGTAAATTGACGTCATTTTCAAGCCTTTTTTAAGCCCATCTATGTTAATGGCCACAACAACAACAACATCAAGCCTTTGTCCCACTACGTGGGGTCGGCATCTATGTTAATGGCCGAATTTCTTTTAATTTTTTAAAAATTTGAATTGTTTTATCATGTGTTATCTTCTTTTGGATTAGAATGGGTTTAAATTTAAAATTTGATAAGATTGGATAGAACTAAATTGCATTAAAATGTTTGTCCTTATCCGTGTAAGCATAGTTCTATGAATAGGAATTGATGGCATGCAATTTTGATTAGTATTGATTGAATGAATGAAATTATTTATGGCCAAATGAGTGCTTCTTATATTCAAGTTGTTTACGTGGATCACTCTAAACTTTATGCGAAGTTTCTTCTTTTTCCCTCTCCATCATCCATCATTAACATAATGCACATAAAAACTAAACTCAATTTCCAGCACCAAGTATTAGATTCTTAAATTCAGCCAAGAAAACTTCAAAATCAAGCTTCAACTTTTCCTCCCCTGACTTCATGATGTTCTAATCTCTGCAAAAATAAAATACATCTAACCAAAAAAAAAAAAATGATAAAGCCCATCATCAACACAAACCTCAGATTCTGCAGCCCCCACCAGAAGCAGTAAACAAATTTCTGCACAAAATTTCTTGATTGAACAATATTTTGAAGAGCTTTTAGGTAGATTCCAAAGTCAAAGGTCGAACTGTTAGGATTTTGTATGGGGCACAAGTTAAATATGAAACTGTTGTCTTGCCCTTTTCCTGCTCCACAGTACCAAGAGCTAGTCTTGCAATTATTAATAGAACATGCATGTTTCCAGCATGCATCTTCACGTTCAATGGATAGCAAATACCAGAATGCTCCAAGTACCTAATGAGGAGTTACAGCTTCATGAGCTCCATAAAGAATGAAAGTTTCTTATTTCTTTTCTTCCAAAATGTGATAGGAGAGGGAAAAACACAAATATAAACATACGTGACTTGCAAGCATGTAAAGCAAGAGGTTGAAGGCAGCCCCAGCCCAAGCTGTTTCAGTGATTATGCCAGCAGACCTTGTTACTTCTGTATACAATGGTATGATCCTTGCAAGTCTAGGCAGATATTGGAACACCACAATAATCATCAAAATATTTTTTGCATCCAATGGAGTTGATTCTTTCAATTTTGGTATCATGATCAGTACAAATACCTAAGTGTTATGAAGAAACTATAAACTTGGGCACTCATTAGCAAGAAAGATGCACCCAAACGTAGGGTTCAATTTTAGTAACAGATATCATAAACTTCATAAGTATTAAAAGAAGCAAAATAAGAACATACAACTGATCTGACAGCTTATAGTCTTTAAAATAATATTAAAAATTTTCAACAACAACAACAACATCAAGCCTTTATCCCACTACTAATCCTTTTTCTCCATTGCATTTTTCTCCATTGCATCCTGTTAAGGGTCAAATTCTTATTTAAATCTAAAAAAGAAAGGTCATTTCTAATATTTTCTAATCAAGTCTTTTAAGGTCTACCTCTACCTTTCTTAATATAAGCTAATCTAATACATTTACTTTTCTAACCGAGTTAGCAGAAGGCTGTCGTTTTATGTGACCAAACCATCTAAGGCGACTCTCTCTAATCTTATCTTCTACTAGAGCTACTCCAATCTTTCATGTATATACATTTCGTATCTTGTATCTAAGATTAAAGCCACTCATCCACCTAAGCATCCTCATTTCTGCAACACTTAATTTAATATTATGCTTCTCTTTTAATGGCCAACATCTGCACCATAAAGCATTGCAGGTTTCACCATCATTTTATAGAATTTTCCCTTAAGTTTGAGGGGGGCTTTTCTACACACAATAAGCCTGATGCATTCCTCCACTTCAACCATCCAACTTGAATTCTTCTTATAATATCTCCAATTATTTCACCATCACTCTAAACAATAGACCAAAGATATCTAAATTATGTACTCTTATTAATGACTTGATCGTCCTAAGTCACAAACCCTTTACTAGATCTATTACTACTAAAATTACATTCTATATATTAAGTTTTAAATCTGCTTAAATGAAAATCTTTAGGCTCTAAGGTTAACCTCCATAATTCAAGTTTACCTCCAACTCCCTCTCCAGTCTTATCAACAAGAAGATTATCGTCAGCAAAAAGTATACAGTAGAGTATAACCTCTTGCAAATGTCTACTGAGAACATCCAACATAAATAAAAAAATACTTGGTCAAACCACCTTGTGTTTGAATACAGATAACAACACCTGCATACATATATCTAATGACTTGAATATAAGCATTATTAACTCATTTTTTTCTAGAACTTTCCATAGCACTTCTCTTGGAACTTTATCATATGTTTTCTCTAAATCAATAAATATCATATGAAGATCCTCCATATTCTCTCTATGCATTTCCATCAAACATCTCAATAAATGAATAACTTCCATAGTAGACCTACCCGACATAAATCCAAATTGATTTTGAGAAACATTAGTATCACGTCGTAACCTATGCTTCATAACTCTCTCTCAAAATTTTAAAGTATAACACATTAACTTAATTCTTCTATAATTCGCACAATCTTGTGCATCACCTTTATTGTTAAAAATATGAATCAACACACTCATTCTCTACTCATCTGACATCTTTTTAGTCTTCAAAATAATATTAAAAAGTATAGAAGCCAAGAATTTCCTTCATCTCCTAAGCATTTCCACACTTCTATTGAAATATCATCATATCCAACAGTTTTTCCGCCCTTCATTTTCTTTAAAGTCTCTCTAATTTCAGTTTTACTAATACTCCTATAAAAAAAACTCTTTATTTTCATATAAGATGTTAATGTCACTAAAGTCAATCGTATTCTCACAATCTTAACTGAAAAATTTAGCAAAATATCTCATTCACCTTTGTTGAAAATCTTCTTCAAATAAAAGTACTTTTTGGTTTTCATCCTTAATGCACTTCACTTGCATTAAATCCTTACTACTCCTATCACTTTATTTGGCTACTTATACATATATCTTTCGCTCTCTTTAATATCTAATTTATTATATTAATTATTAAAAGCTAAAATCTTTCCATCATATATTGCTTTATTAGACTCCTTAAGGACCTCTTTATATATTTCCCAATTATTAGATTTTTTACATCTAAACCAATTTTTATAACAAAATTTTTTATTTTTTTTATCTTTTCTTACATATTTTGATTCCACCAACAACTGTTTTTACTATTAGTAGTTTTTCCCTTTGATAATCTAAGCACATCAATTTGCAACATTTTTAATATCACTAGCTTCCACATAACATTAGCTTCCTCATGCACAAACAAAATCTTCAGATTTAGAATACAACAACAACAACAACATCAAGCCTTTGTCCCACTATGTGGGGTCGGCTACATGAATCTTTTTTCTCCATTGTGTCTTTTTAAAAGTTGTGGGCTCCGAAAATTCGGCCCCGGCCTCCGCGCCACGCTTTTCTTTTTATTCAGCGAGGGAGTTTTAACGGATTAAGCTCCGGTGTAAATTTTGGAAGGCAGATGGGTTTGTAGATAAGACACTACCCAGAGATTTCACCCTCATTTTGTGAGGACTTTATGATCTGAGTTCTGGTTTCCTATAGGCGCAAGCCCCTATAGTTAATTACCCCTCCCGATCACGAGAGAGAACTCTCGATTAAGGCTAGTCGTCAATCAGATACGTAAAGATACGT